GATGAAAGAGGTGTCCTCTTAGAAAGTGTGGGCAGAAAAAGCATCTCAGAAGGAACAATAGAAAGAAAGAATGAGGAGGCATGGTGGGAGAGAGAAGCTGGAGGATGATATGAAACTCCCAACACAAGACTGAAGAGAAACGAGCTCCTGGTGATCAGTAGAAAGGAGGTCATGTGGATAGAAAAGCCCGTTGGATTCCCCACGTCCATTCCATGAGCAACTTAACTAATTTGAAAATGTTTATCAGATACTTTAATTTGATTTTCTGTAGCTGTGATAAATATGAATCAAAACCAATTGAGGAAAGGGTTTATTTTATCTTTTAGCTTACAAGCCATTGTTGAAGGAAGCTAAGGAAGACTCTCAAGGCAGGAACTCAAGACACGAACCCGGAGCAAGAACTGAAGCAGAGACCATGGAGGACCGCTGCTTAGTGGCTTGCTTCCCCTGGTTTGTCAGTTATTTTTCTTATACAGTCCAGGCTCACTGTATAAGGACTGTATTGTACACAGTGGGTAGGGCCCTCCCACATCAATAGCAATTAAGAAAATGCCTCATGGATAAGCTCATAGACCAGTCTGCTAGAAGAAATTCCTCAGTTGAGATTCTTTCTTCCAAAGAATATCTAAGTTTATGTCAAGTTGACAGAAACTATGCCATTCTACCCCTTGTCAATTTGACAAACAAACACAGTACTTTTAAGACATACCATTTCCATTTCTTGTCCCCAAGATCTCATGTTAATATCAAAATGGAAAGGACAGTCCAACTTTAAAAGTCCCACCATCTTTTAAAAATTCCAATGATTTAAAAATAAAATCTCTTTAAAAATCCAAAGTTTCTTTTTTATTATATTTATTTTTATGCATGAGTGTATTGTTTGCATGTATGTAAGTGCACCAGTGTCATGCAATGCCCATGGTGGTCAGAAGAGAGCATAGAAATCCCCTGGAACTGGAGTTACAGATGGTTGTTAGGCACCATGTGGGTGCTAGGAATTGAACCTAGGTCCTCTGCAAGAGCAGTCAGTGCTCTTAACCACTGAGCCATCTCTCCAGTCCCCAGAAATCCAAAGTTTCTTAACTCCTATAAAATTCCAAATAAGTTATACACTATCTTGTTCCAAAAGGGAAGAACCAGGGCAGAGTTACAATCATATCAAAACAAAACTGAAATCCAACAATGTAAAAAGCTAGTTGTCTGTCTTCTGGGACTAACTCATGATCTGCGATCCAAAGGGCTTAGGCAGTTGCATTTCTCCAGCCTTGCCATGTAGCACACATAGCTTGCCTCATAGCTCAGGCCAGTTCTACTCCACACCTGCCACAGTCCTGGTATGTCTAATATGCTGGAGTCTCCAGTGAAACTAAGGCTTCACCCTCATCAGTGGCCTCTCCTAGGACTCCTTCCCTGCCACATGGTGCCCACTCTCAGCTTCTCTCTAAGATTCCTTCAATCATGGGGTTTCCATTGGAACTGAGGTTGCATCTTCATCAATGGCCTCTCTTCAGGGAGACTCTGATTCTACCATAAGATGCCAAGCCTCAGTTGCTCTCCACAACCCCCTTATACCTTCAAAACCAATACCATATGGGATACTGTAATACATTATTTGCCAAGTACTGCACCAACTTGATGTGCAGCTTCTCCCCACCCCTCACTGAACCACAAGTACTATGTGTTGGCCTTGAAGAAATACTTCTTAGACTCCACCTCAGTGATGTTGGTCTCTTATTAATCATGGCTGATTTTTCAACCCCAGCTAACCAGGATCAATTGCCAAAGTACAGCAAATGTTTTACTTCAGTAGTGCTGGTCTTTCATTAATTACAGCTGATTCTTCAGCCCCAGATGACCAGAAGCTACAGATTCTTCATTCAAAATACACATTAGGCTTGATAGAGTCTTTGAGGGAACCCTCAAACTTCCCCCTGAAACGTCCCAAGTCATGTCTCTACTGTCTGCATTGCTTTCAGCATTATCTCCAAGTTTCCAATAGCTCTGAGCATCCAATGGCTTTTCCAGCTCCAAAATTCTTTCTACCTTCTTCCCACAAAAAGTCCAAGACAAAAAAGCTATATGGTCAGGTCTATTACAGCAACACCCCATGTTCCTGGTACCAACTTCTGTTCTAGTTTGCTTTCTGTTGCTGTGATAAACCACTACAACCAAAATCTATTTGGAGAAGAGTTTATTTCATCTTACGGCTTGCAATTAATCATCAAGGGAAACTAAGGCAGAAACTCAAGACAGGAACTCAAGACAGGAACCTGAAACATAAACGGAAACGGACCACAGAGGAATGCTGTGTACCAGTTTGCTTTCCTTGGTTTGTCAGCTACTTTATTACACAGCCCAGGCCCACAGGGATGATATTGCTCACAGTGGGCTGCGGTCTTCTGCATCAATCAGTAATCAAGAAAACGCCTAACAGACATGCCCACAGACAATCTGATTGAGGAAATTCCTCAACTGAGATTTTTCCTTCTTAGGTATGTCTAGGTTTGTGTCAAGTTGACAAAAACTAACTGTGATACCAGATGATTGGAAATGTATTTAAGGATTTGACTATGAGAGAGATGATGTCACTTAAAATAAGAAGCAGAGAGCTAGGGAGTTAGCTAAATTGGTAAAGTGCTTGTCCTGTAGCATGAGGACCTGAGTTTGATCTTCATAACCCACATAAACACACATTTAAAAAAAGCTGGGTGTGGTGGCACATACTTATAATCCTAGCACTGGGGTGTGTGGGGGGTGGGGAGGTAGAGACAAGCAGATCCCTGGGGCTGGATGGCCAGCCAGTTTAGTCTACTTAATGAGTTCTAGGCCAGTGAGAGAGCCTATCTTAAACAAACAAAAAACACAAACAACAACAACAACAAAAAACCAGTGGGGAGTGCCTGAGGAGCAACATTCAATTTAGTGCTATCCTCTGACCACATGCATGCACATGCAAACAGAGACACAGATAGAAACACAGACACAGACCGATAGACACACACACACACACACACACACACACACACACACACACAGAGATACACACAAAAATAGAAGAGTGAAAATTTAAAGACAGCACAGCCAATTTTAACTTAAAATTCGTGACAATCTCTTCATTACCTACAGTCACTCGCTTTGGGGAGCCAGTCTTTCAGATGTGCCACTCCTTTTGGAGAAGAGATTTACTGTTCAATGGTCTTATGAAGAAAGGTACAGAGAATTTGCAGAAATCTCAAGAAGTTAAAGTGCTGCTTTGCCTAACACTGTTTTCCAGTTCTCTCTCTCTCTCTCTCTCTCTCTCTCTCTCTCTCTCTCTCTCTCTCTCTCTCTCTCTCTCTCTCTCCCTCCCCCATTCTACTGCCAGATAAAACTTCATAAGGTATAATTCTCATTATTACTTATTAGATAAAGAATACACATTTTACATATTTTAGTCTGCCTTTTTGGTTATTGGTTGCCTTTCCCAAAGTCAAGAGTCTACACACCTCCCTGAGGAACACATCCAGAGTTCTTTCATTTCCATGATTTTGCCTGTTACTTTCTGGCCTAATTACCTATAGTTCTTCAACTTTGGGGATCTATGAAAAATGTGCTGGGGCACGGTCTCCCAAAGCTTCAAGGCAAACGAAGGCTAGAGATAATTTTAACAGCAACAGAGACACATGAACAGATCTCTATACCATTTGACTAACACCATGGCAGCAATCTGACAGTGTCTCCCTGGAATCCAATATTGTCCTTAAAGGTTTAGATCAGATACCCTTGTGTGGCCTCAAGCTTTTCCAGTAGCCATTGTCTTCCTGGTGTGATGGAAACTTCTGTGCTCAGAGGCACACTCTGTCTGATGTGTTTGGAAATTTCTAGTGAATGGCTTTGAGCCCTACTTTATTCTATGTCTTGTACTTTTCCTCTTGTGCTATTTAAATTTCTATCTACATGCATTTTACTTCCCTCAACGGAACTGGTGCTTAAGGGTAGGAAATATTTTAGTCATCTTGGAAATACTAGTGGCCATTTTGGTGTCTAGCATGAGTTCATTCATGCATGAATTAGTATGAATGATGAGGAGTATGGGTCCCTAAAACACTGTGAATTTTTAATAGTTGGAAATATGTTCCTTATATCTTTGCATTATGAAAGATTATGAGAGAGAATAAAGATATGTGCCAGTTGATTGATCAACAGATTTATAAGAAAATAATTGTAGAGATCACTGAGTACTTACTATATTCAAAGTCTCTCTCTTTCTTTCTCTCTCTATCGCCCTCTCCCTCTCCCTCTGTGTGTGTATGTCCATGCATATGTGTGTATACATGGTTTGAGGCCAGAGTTCAACCTTGAATACTGTTCTCCAGGAGACTTCCAGCTTCGTTTTTCAGATTTTTATTTTCTGAGACAATCACTCAAAAAAAAAAAAAAGGTATAATTTGGTGCTTACCCAGCAGGCTAGACTGGATGACTGTCAAGTACCAAGGATCTACCTGTCTCTGCCTCCCCAGCACTGGGAGTACAAGGACACATCTGGCTTTTTTCCCCCGAGTACCGGGGCTTTAACTCAGGTCCTCATGCTTGTATGGTAAATACTTTACCAACTAAGCTATCTCTCAGCTCCCAAACCTTTAATAAGAATTATTGCTTTATCCCCACAAACGTTATGCGAGGTATGGACTGTTAACCCTCATTTCATAGGTGAAGATACCAAATATTAGATCAATTTCTTCATAGTTAAGCAGCTGATATGTACTAGATCTGGTGTTAGAACTCAAGTGTGCATCACTGCCTAGTAATTCTTCACAAATGTCACAGCTAATTGATTTGCTCTGGGCTTTGTTCTGAAAAAACTACCTTACATCTTTTCAGTTTTGTTTTAAAATTTCTGTTAAGTTCTCTTTCTGCAGCTATGTGAACAAATAGCAAGTGATGGTGACCTTGCCCTGGTTGGCCACAGGTTAGCCTGACCAGAAAGAAGCAGAGCTGTCAGTGATTGATCCAGCACTTACCTGTCAGTCAAAGGTGTGATCACCAGGCGAGGTGTATTTCCCAGATACTCATAGGAATATAGAAACTGGGCATCACAGATGTTAGCAAAGCAGTGTTTGGCCTCATCATCCCAACGATGACGTAGCTGGGACAGCCAGAGGAAAGCCTGGGCATTGTCTACCTAAAGGAACAGTGGTAGAGCAGGTGGATAAATAATAATGCTCTACAGATAGTGGGTAGCCTTCTGGTCACAGGATATATGTCTCTGGATGACCTAGGTATTGTCTGACACTTGAGAGTGCAGGATGCTCTGACCACAGGTCTGATGAAAGATGCTTCACAGCTTATGATGGGGCTATATCTCAATAAACCTAGGATAAGTTGAAACTTTCTTCAGTTGAAAATGCATTTGATCCACCTAACCTACTGAACATCATAGCTCATCTTCACCTACCTTAAACAGCTGAAGAATTTTTATTACCCTATGGGTAGACAAAGCCATTTAACATCATGCCTATTATATGATTGTGTTGAGTAGCTCATGTTATTATGTACTATAACCAAAGTACAGTTCCTTCTGAAGACGTATTGCTTTCCTACTATCATGAAGTCAAAACATCATAAATTGAGTCATCATGAATCAAGGACTATCCATATACTGTGTTGCCTGAGGTTTTAAAAGGAAGCAGCAAACACCATGATCCTCCCTCATCTGACATGCAGATCCAGGAGTCATATATTGGCCAAAGAGAGGAGCTACTCTGATGGTACAGACACTCATAAAGAGGAACACACCTGGGTCTATTAGGACCTACCTTTTGAGCAATCATCTTGGCCACTACATCTCGGGCATGCACATCAATTGTGCATATGGTCATGATCTTCTGCCGGTCCCCCTTGGAGAGCTTGCTGATTAGCATGGTGATGAGGGTTTTGAGTTGGGCCACTTGTTTCTTATAATAGTCCTTCATGGCATTTTCATAACCTTCTTCCAACCTGGCAAATGCAATGCCCACTTCTGTCGTCCACCAGATCTGAGTACAGGTCAGGGCCACCTGTGGCACCAAGAGCTGCTTAGTAAAGCTGTTACTGGGGCTGTTTCCAAGCAGCCCACTCATGACACAGGAAGGGTTCAGGATGTGACTGTGTGAGTGACAGGCCCCTTTCCTCCCTCTTCCCCCATCATTGAATAAGTAAACCATATGCTCCAAATCCTCAGAGATGTGAACTAATTATGACACAAATGAGAAAAGCATGCCTTGTTCCTGAAGATGGATCATTTTGTTGAGAACAACCAAAGATGGGTTCTGGCTGGTGTCAGAGGTTTCTAGGAATGGCTACAAGGATCATTCACCTATTCCCAGAGATGGCACCTCTGCCATGTTTGGGAGGACAACAGTTTGACAGCCTGTTAGTAACACTGTCTTTGTTCCATTCCTCTCGATCCTCTTGTGGTCCAAGTATTCCAATTCAGTGGACTACTCTGATCATCTGTAGCCCACATTTGCTTGCCCACAATGTTTTCAATATGTCTTTAACTTTTTAAATCTATAGACTTGAAATAATTCTTTTTGAAGGTTCAGGTGAGTAACATCAAGATCCAGTGTGGTTGGTTATTCTGCTTGAATTTTCAGAGATTAAAAATAAACATGGGAAAAGGAATTCAAGTCAATATTTCTTCTGTTGGCTGTGAACTTTTACATGAAAACTACAGCATTTGAGTGTTCACAGTGGAGGATGTAGACATGTTGCTCATCTGTAGTTCCATTTGACCTTGGAGACATTGTTTTGGATGGTTTCTATTGCAATAGTAGGAGGCAAAACATTTTCTCATCTCAAAATTCTCTACAGGTCTTCTGTTATGAGAAACCCTGGCGGGAATCAATCCTTCTGTGAAATAGAAACAGCTGTTGCTGTCAGCAGCCTCGTCCCCTGGGTTGCCTGTTTTCCTTTGAGACTACATTCTATTGGGGTTTGTTAGAGAGAGCCTGTGTACACTGGTGGCTCTGTCAGATGGTTTGATGGGATTTATTTGTGTACTCTCTATACTTACTCAGTTCTTCTTACTTTCTCCAGACTCTTGTACCCCCTTTCCAGTGGCCTGATCTGTGGCACTTCACTGAAATGGTGTGGTGGTTTGTATGAAAATGTCCCCCCATAGGCTTCAAGTATTTGGACATTTTGTCCCCAGATGATGGTGCTGTTTTGGGGGGTCTTAGAAGGTGTGGCTATCCTAGAGGAAGCACATCACTGGGGGTGGGCTTAGAGAGTTCTTAAGCCTTGCCAGATCTCCAGTTGCCCTCTTGCTTCCTGTACCTGGTGATGATGTGACTTTAATTCCCCTAGAACCGTAAGCTCAAACAAACTTTTCCTTCTATAAATCGCTTTGGTCAGTGTTTCTATCACAGCAACAGAAAAGTGACTAGAACACTCTTCCTTCTATAAGTTGCTTTAGTGGTCAGTGTTTCTATCAGCAACAGAAAAGTGACTAATACAAATGGCCTCACCAAGGACATATACGGACAGTTTTCATCCTTGTTTTTGTTTTTTCTAAATTTTTAAATATTTGTTTGTATTTTATGTGTATGTTATGAGTGTTTTGCCTGTGTACATGTAAGTACACCAGTGTCATGCGAGGCCTGTGGATCCCTCAAACTGGAGTTACCAATGGTTATTAGTTACCATGCAAGTGCTGGGAACCAAATTCAGGTCCTCTGCAAGAGCAGCCTGTGCTCCTAACTGCTGAGCCATCTCTCCAGCCTCTCATCCTTGTTTTTCTTGGTTTCATAGAAGTAATTCTGGCATTTAAAAAAAAAAAATCTGTCTTCTGATATCAATAGCTCACTGTTTACTTCCAGGATGATTGTGCCCTGGTTCTTCCTTCTAAGACTCTTTCTTCCTTTTCCTGCTTCCCCCTACCTGCTGGCTCTGGATGCTGCAAAACTTCTCATTTCAGGGCTCTAATCTACTCTTATGGCTTCATTGCCACCACCAGATGGTGAGGTCAGGCTTACCTAACACTAGGACTGTCTATCACTAGAGGAAGGGAAGAGTGGTATACTGTAGCCATAATCAACTGAAAAAATCTCATTAAACTAGTTTTCTTTACTGTGACCTCTTCCTGAGAAACCTAGAAAGAATTCCGTTCAATTTTGGATTCAAGTCAGACTCTCTAACACGGTCTGTAAGAACTGGCTTCCAGTATCACATCTAGAGCCCATCAGCTGCATCCTGCTCCCTCCCCTTGCCTCTCCGTTCTTCAAACATGTTATGAATGTTCTCTTTTGCTTCAGAGCCTTTGCCTATGCTCCTCCCTTACATGGGTTGCTTTCCCTCATCATTCTAGGTCACTAACTCCTACTTCAAATCTTGGCTTAAATAGATCTTCAGAAAGGTGACCTTAGACTCCACTAGCCAGTTATATGCTTCTAGAGTGAACTCCAGCAGGGCAGTTCATCTTGTTTCCCGCTGGGCTTCCCCACTCACAGTCAGCACAGAGCTGGCACATTCAGTATAAGTTGATTCAAAGACTTTAATTGTTCATCTCTTCTTTCTACTCTGGAGAACAAACAAGGGTACAACTAGGTCACCCAACTCTTCCATAGCAATGGCTGAATTCAGTCATGGCTGCCAATGCCCCTGCTCTGTTTTCTGGCCCTCCCAGTGCTCTAGGATTCAAGACCCTCCTATTGTGAAACACAGTATGGTTAGCTTGAGGCCCTGAAGCCTCTGAAAGTACATAGAGGCTGCTGGAGAAGAAAGCCAGTGGAGGAGAGAGGGTGGGAAGGTCTAACTGGGAGCCTACCTGAGCTGGGTAGTCAAATAGCCACTGCTCCCTGGGCTTCTCCTCATAGGCAGTTACTCCCTCTGTCATCTCATGTCTCACTGTGGCCTTCATGTGGCAAAGAACGTGGTTCAACCATATTTCTACCTGGAAAGAGAGCTTGGGGTTAGACACCATAAGCCTCAGAAGAGTTGATCACACTATTTGAAGGACTTAGTGAAGAAGATGGCACTCTGGCATTGAATATAACCACCAGAAGGCAAGGGGAGGCAGTTTATATTTATATCTAGAATGTGATGAGCAGGAGCTAGGTTGATGTACAAATCTGGCACACACAGGAGAAGATGACCGGGTAAGGGGTGGTAGAATTCTACCAGAGTTCATACAAGGAAATGCAAATCTAGGTTGAGCCAGATTTAGTCACGATATTTGTGGACTTGTCTACACAGCATAGAGATATAAGCCAGGTTTGAGTTTCTCAATTGAATGCTTTCCAGTCTATAAAAAGAGTGCATTCTGAATAAAACCCCATGGTTGCCACCTTCATCTGAGAACTGGATTATTACCACATATGAGAATTCGTTTCTGAGGTATATGTGGAAAAGATAGAAAGTTGCAAAAGTTCTTTCTGTGCAGGTCTTCCTCTGCACTGGAATGGAACCCTAGGGACCATGTTTTGCTGGATCTTCTATGATAATGAACAAGGCAGGACTTATTCTTCAGTGGTGTGGAAGGAAGCATGGGGATTTAAGGAGAGAACAGTCTTATGATTCATGTGCCTGGAACTGGATGTGGGAGGCCTGGAGGTGCAGTAGTGCTTCCTAGAGCAGGGTGTGTGTAGGTGGCTCTCTTAGGGGAAGGGCTGTGGGAGGAAGTGACTCTGAGGTGTATTTGCAGAGAGGGGACATCTCAGGAAAATGGACATTTCCTCCCAGGAAAGGTGTCAGAGTTTCAGATTCCCCTGTGGGGTGCTCCAGGGGTTGCCATCTTAATGTCCTCTGTGCTGCCAATCATTTTCAGTCCCCCTTCTCTTTGACTTCTCTGTGTGCATTTTGTTTCTTTCAGCACTGGTCTTTGGTTAAGGAGGAGATATGAATGTTGACATGTGTCTTTCTCAGAGAAAGAAAGGGTGTTTGGGGCAGCTCAGCTCCAGTTAGGGAAAGCTGCTCTTCCAGGTCACAAACAAAAGATCTGGCCCAAGAGAAGATTAAGCTCACCATATTTGATTTGAATATGAGATAGAGATGGAGAGAGGTTGAGAGAGAGACTGAGAGATGTGAGAGGAGCTTCCATATCACCTGCCCGCTGCAGTCACAGGGTTCACTGAAGGCCACATACTCCTCTTCTTTGCTGTACATACCAAGACTTGTCTTGATTGGGTTCTTACTGGCATCTAGCTGGAACTGCATCTTGGCCATGTTGTCAAAGAGTTTGGAAAGGTGACGTTGAACCTGTGAAGGGAAATTGTGGCAAAGGATTGGAGAGCATGTACAAGAACCAAGGCCTGTGAGGTGACAAACCTTGCATCAAGTGAATGCCAAGCATGTAGAAGGAAGGTTATGGGAATCACAGAGATGTAAGGATGGCATCCATATGAACTGGACGGAAATGGCCAAAGGAGTAGTTAGGATGGCACCATCACTGGGGCTCTATCATCAGAGCCAGTGTCCTGACACTGAAGAAAAGACAGGCCTGAGCCAAAGTAAAAGTATGTGTTTTTAGGTTTTAACAAGAAGAATAAATATTACCTGGTTTTGCTTTCAATTAAACAAAAGAAACACAAACTCTGTAAAAATACAAGATAAAAGATGAGCTGGTAGAAACACAAAGTAAGCAAACTCACAGCAACAGTGTTCACTGCACTAAAGGGTTCAACAGATGCAAAAGACACAATGTGGTGCGCAAGGTTTGAAGAATTCGGAGGAGGTGGACTATGAGATAAATCTATGATTAAGGAGAAGAGGATTTGGCAACAGATCTCAGTTTACAGAACTATGATGAGCCTGAAGGATCAGATACCCAAATCAGTGAAATAGAAATACCCTCAAGCACTCAGGTATAGTGGGAGGAAACTTTAAAGGTAACAGAAACCATGGTTTCCAAACAGGAGACAATCTCATCACACATCAGGAGAAAATAGCAAAGTAAATAAATATCTAAACAAATACATGATTTTTAAAATTCAATATAAATTTGATTTTTATAGAGATCCAGACAAAAAAATCAGACTATCATGAGAGGTTTTAAAATTACTTTATGTTCACAAGGAGCAGCAGAGCAAAGTCTACAGGGATTGAGAGGGAGCTGTTGTCAGAGTGACTTCTAAATCTGCCTGTTCTGTCACTCACATGTGAAACTACCCAGAGTCACACATGGAGGAGGTAGAAATTAGCTTACCACACTTCATTTCTTAGGGGACGAGATTTACTATAACCAAATGAGAAATAAATCAAAATAAATACTCAAGAATGACTACCTTGTGTACTAAAAGTATAGAAAGGCTAGAAGTGATGTGATCCCTTCTACACAGGGAATTAGTAAAGGTATCAACAGAATGTGGATATGGTAAACATCTCAACCCCACCATGCCTGGGATATTTTGGAAATATTTCAACCTATAGGAAAAGACAGCAGAGGTTACAAAGATAATCCCTCTGTAATACTGGCTTCTTAATAAATAGACTGAGATCTGATCTGTTGGGAGCCACGTTTGGGCTCTATTGGAGAAGTTCTTGTCCATGGCTGGTGGTGATGCAAGGGGACAGTTCCTATGCAGTGAAGCATGGCCATGCTAACAAGGTTGCATGGTCCTCTACCTTTTCAGCCAATATTCTCTATGAATTTATCTAGAAGACAGACCTCCAGGATGTAAGGTTATTCAATGCATCATTTTCTTTTGGAAAATATAAATAATCTAATGACCAGACAAGACTGGTCTGATGGTTCAGCAGAGGACAAAGGTTTTGTTCCCAGCACCCACATGGTGGCTAACAACTGTCCATAACTGCAGTTCCAGGGGTCTGACTGCCTCTTCTGACCTTCGTACACACTTCGTATCCCCACTGATGCCTGTCAGAGATTCCTCAAATAAAAACATGGTATTAGGGGCTGGAGAGATGGCTAAGTGGTTAAGTGCACTGACTGTTCTTGTAGAGGACCTGGGTTCGGTTCACAGCACCTACATGGTGGCTAACAACCATCTGTAACTCCAGTTCCAGGGGCTCCAATGTCCTCTTATGGCCTCTATGGGCATTGCATAACATGGGTGCACTTATATACATTCAGGTAAAACATTTCTACACATTAAGTAAAATAATAATAATAGCCATAGCGTATGATGTAAATGTTGAGAGGTGGGAAGGAGGGAAAGAGAGAGCAAGAGTGAGAATGAGAGCAAGAGCGAGTGAGCAAGAGAGAGAGAGAGAGAGATCTTTGAATTAATACAGAATGGTTTCCAAGATACATAACTAAGTTTTTTTTTTTTTTAAAGCAAGGTACAAAGCTGGTACCACACATCTGTAAATCACAGTAGCTCAGTAGGCAGAGGCAGGAGGATCACATATTCAAGGTTGGCTTTTACTACATAGTGAGACTCTGGTCCCCACACTTCCTTCAAAAGAAGACAAAGTGCAAGCGGATGTGTGCAGCATGCTACCTTTTGTGTAAGGCAAGACAAGGGAATGACTTGAGGAGGTATAAACGTAAATCAGTGTATTTTTGCAAAGATGAACACAGGACAACTAAATCAGAAACTAATGAAAGTGGCTACCTCTGGGGATGGAGGGCAGACAGTGATGATAGATGATACACAGGAAGAAGGGACACTTTTCAGAGCATACATATTTCACGTTTTATCATATTTCACATGACTCTTGGAATCAAATGGATATTCTACACAGTATTTAGAGCTCTACTAACAGTTGATCTTTTTGTCATCTATTATTTATCTACAAATAAATATTCTGACAATATAGCTGTCTCTAAAAAAAATCTATAACCCCCCAACACAGGTGTTGATATAAAACCACAAAAAAAATAAAAACAATAGAGATGAAAAAATTCTAAACCAGAGAACAAAGAGAAATAAACAAACCCCTGCATACTTCAAATGAAAAAATAGTCACACAGAAGAGAGAAAAAGAACTCATCAGGGTAACTTCTTAATCCAGTGTTTTGGACTAGATATCTTCAGTCTGAGAAAAAATAAAATCACTACAAACACATCCCAGGGTGAGAACAGAGGGAGCCCAGTCATCTGAGAGGAGATTGCAGGTACATAGCTGACAGCACTGCCTCTGAGTGTGGCTCCAGTGCAGCAGCAGCACTTGGGAAAGTTGTAGAAAAGCAAGACCTCCAGCCCAGGGAATCAAGAATTCTGGGAGGAGACAAAGGTAACCATAATTAAACAGACCTTCCACATGGTTCAGATGCTCTCTGAAGTTTGATGGCCAGCACGTATTGCTGCAAACAACAGAGCTTCAACTAGAGACTAGAAACCCTGTAAAAGCAGGCAACTCCATTTTTACAGACAAGAAGAACTTGTAAAGTAATATGTCCATGACTACATGGCTAATAAGTCACTGGAATCAAAGGAAAGCACCCAAAATTTGGGTCCTGTGATGGCTAATCCTGGGTGTCAACTTGATTGGATCTGGGATTAACTGAAATGACAGAGATCTTCTTGATTGGATCATCTGAAGCTGGAAGACATGCCCTAAATGTGGGCGTTAACTTCTGATGGCAGCCGGTATAAAATGCCATGGCAGAGGAGAAAGTCTGGCTTCTTGCTGCTTGCCTTCCCTCTCGCTGGTGAGTTCGTCTTGCTGCTGTAGATTGAAGACTAGCTGATCTTTTAGAATTCGTCAGACCTTCAGCTCCAGATTGGGACTACTGAGACATCCAGCCTCGTGGACTGAGCGACTACGGATTCTCAGCCTCTCCAGTGTGGTGCAGCCATTGTTGGACTACTTGGACTCTATCCTGTGAGCTAAGCTGATAAATCTCTATACATATATTCATTCTACCGGTTCTGTTTCTTTAGAGAACCCTGACTAATACAGGTCCCTCACATATGCTTTTTTTGATGAAACCACCTTAAGGCCCAATTGACAAAATTTCTCAATTTATATTCTCCTGGAAATTATAGCCAATATTTTTCTAATTTATAATTGGTATATATGTACATGGCTTTATGGGATATGGTGTGACATTTCAATACATCTATACAATGTGCAATGATTAGGTCAAAGTGATTGGTACATCTATCATATCAAACATTGTTTCTCATACTGGGACTATGAAAAATTCTTTTAGCATTTTTGAAATATACAATTAATTGTTGTCTGCTGTAGTTATTCTAGTGTGCTATAAAATATTAAAAGCTATTCCTCCCATCACTCCACATCCAGGGCCAGCCCCTCCTTCCCTCCACCTCTCTGATAACCACTACTCTCTCCTCTACTTCTGTAAGATGAACTTCAGCTCCCACACATGGTATCATGTGTTATCACTTCCATGACTGACTTATCTCATTTCACATCCTATTCTGCAGATCCACGCATGCCATCCTGTTAATGACAGGATTTTCTTCTTTTATAATGGCTGTTACTTGACCACAATTGACTAGCTGTCTCTTCAGAACCAGGTCAAAGGCATTCTGAGCAAAGACTTAACTCCATGCTTCTTTGCATCCTCAGAGCTCCCAAATTTCTATTTTAGCTGCTGATGGGGGCAGTGTGCATCCTGAGTAAATATGAGAAGGAAGAATGCTGCAGGAAGGAATGATGCCTAAGGTAACAGGGGTCTGAAATGTAGCTCTCCTCATAACCTGAGAGAAGGCTCCCACTGGGAGCTCCCCAAGCCTTTGGACCATTTTATAGCTGCTCTCCCAGCTTACCTGTTGTGGAGCTGTGCCATTGGAAAGGATGTCTAGCAGGTCAGAGGAGGAGAGAAAGTAGAACCGAGGGAAGGCAAGCCTCTTGGTATCTAGGTACTCTGAAAGGGCTTTCTCACACAGGCACAATCTGAGAACATAGAACACAGGATTTCCTAGCTAAATATGCTTAGCCCCAGAGCTAGACATGCATTACCTAAATGCAAGCACAGTCGGCCCTCAGTATGTATGGGTTCCTTATCTGAGGGTTCAACTGACTGAAGGTTGAAAATATTTGGGAAAAATTTCAGATGATTTGAACATATCCAGGCACTTTTTGGTCATTATTCCCTAAATGTACAATGCAGCCATTTATGAAGCATCTACATAGCATCAAGTATTATAAGTAGTCTAGGAATGTCACATAGTCTATGAGAGGATCACAGTCATACACAACTATGCTATTCTATGTAAGGAACTAGAGCAGCTGCAGATTTTTGCATGTCTGCAGACTGTCTTAGAAACAGTTCCAAGGGGACACTGAAGGATGACTAGATTTTCAATAAATGTAGATGTAAGAACAATGAACACTTAGGAATATTTGCAAGTGTATACACCCATTTACACCAGCATCGACACCCCAATGATATCATACCCGCCCCCGGAGTGTATACACCCATTCACAAGGCATCGACACCCCAATGATATCATACCCCCCCCCCCGGAGCATACACACCCATTCACACCAGCATTGACATCCCAATGATATCATACCCCCCCGGAGCGTACACACCCATTCACACCAGCATCAACACCCCAATGATATCATACTCCCCTAGAGCGTACACACCCATTCACACCAGCATCAACACCCCAATGATATCATACCCCCCTAGAGCGTACACACCCATTTACACCAGCATCAACACCCCTGTACCATATCCCATGGTACCCAAACCTGCAGGCAGGGCAAAGGCCATATACATGCTCATTGTCAGGCAACTAAATAAAGGTCAGAGACAGGAGAGAAGAAATGTTTGCTCCCTGCCTGACAGCAGGGTAGTGCGCCAACCCACCTGCTCTGAATATCCTCTAGCTTTTCGTAGAGAGCTGACTTGTTGGTGGCTTCCACGACATTTGGGGTTTTCTGAGCATCGTATGCCAGCTCTTTGAAGTCAGTGTCAATGCCTTCAAATCGTTTAGAGTCCTACAAATGAAAAATGTGGCAAAAAATCAATAACTGCTTGAGCCTGACCTTTGTAGTCACCTATAGGCAGAAAACCCCTATGTGTGGCCCAGTCCCAACAGACTTTGGAGAGGATGGGCATTTGCTCCAGACAGCAGCACCCATTTGTCTTAGAAACCCTTTTACTTTAGCTTTTGTAGGTAAAACATCAATAGATATTTTCTATATTAGAAGTTAAAGTATTTTTAAAGAAAGATTAAAAATATTTAATTAATGTTAAAAGTAATAATAAATCAATTACTTTAGGGGAAATATCATTTTTTTGGTCTTTTTGAGACAGGGTCTCCCTGTAGCCCCAGCTGGTCTGGAACTCATTATGTAGACCAGGCTGGCCTCCATCTCACAGAGATCTGGCTGCCTCTGCCTTCCCAGTACAGGGTCTCCCTGTAGCCCTGGCAGTCTTGGAACTCACTATGTAGACCAGGCTGGTCTTGAACTCACAGAGATCTGCCTGCTTCCTGAGTGCTGGTATCAAAGGCCTGCGCCACTATGCCAGGGATAAATACCATGTTTTATCTAATAATCATTTACAAAATACAAAACAACAGCAATGAAAACAGAGTAGGTAGCATCCCCCAGCTTTCCTTTTTTTCCTCCAAGTTGCTCTACTGTCTGATTTAATAGAACTCGTGGGCATTCTTGTTATCTGCTTCTGCATCTGATTTGCTGTGGAATCACCTGCCCTGCATGGCAGTTCCTGTATGTTCAGTCAAGAATGAAGTCAAAAAGCCAAATAGCATATGCCATCAGAAAGACAGTGTTGATGTCTTAGCCCTAGTTAAGTTGCAGGCACTCCCCCATTCCCACCCTAGACATTCAACACGTGATTCTTAAGTCAAGCAGGCCATGGATTGAATGTGGTTACTAGGTCCATGAAAATATTTGTATGGCCTGAGTTTTTCCTCAGCAAATGGAGTACTATCTTTTCAAAATTATTTAATATCATTTTCCCCATCCAAATCACAGACATCCTCACTGTGTTGTCAAAATGATTAAGAAACTAGTATATGCAAAGTATTTAAACCCAAATCTGGCCCCTGGTAAGGTCATGAAGTGTTATTATAAAACAATACTTTTAATGTCATATGCTGTGTGCATTGTTCTAATGAATTCTCTGAAGTAGATGCTAGTATTCATCTCAATTTACGTATGAGGAAATCAAGACATGACAAGGTTAAGTAACTTGCTCATGGAAGGGGAATCAGGACTGAAGTCTAGGCTTGCCGTCTTCCCCTCTGTAATCCATACTCATTTCCCAAGAATAAAGATAAGAGTCGTGGGTAAAGTGAATTAAGACTCCTTCTCAAAAGGGTATTTTGCTTTGATTGAAAATGAAATGGTATCAGGTGATAGAAGTATGGAAAATATTTGGCATGATTGTTCAAATGAAAAGAGCTGAACAGAAAATTCTAATTATGTGGAGAGCAATTATGTAAAACTATGTGTACACACGCACAAAAGTTGGAAAATAGTTGGAATGAATGAAAATATTACCAGTTAGGCTGCAATATTATGACTGAAATAATTTTTGTTATGTTTTTAATACAAATAAAGTACATATATTTACATATTTTGTACACAAACCTGTGGCACAGTTTAGAGACTAAATTATTATTGTTTTAAATAAAAAGTCCTCAAACGTCTCCTTAAAGTCTCCATCAAAGTCTCCACCTATGTCCTTGCCCTCCTCTAATTAAGCCTACTTGTCTTCAATTGCTGGCATTTAAAACAAATAAAATTTGGCTTCTTCAATTTGGCTTTATTACAACTGTGGCAACAGAACTGTTCTCTGTTATTTTCTTTGTGAATGTCAACCTTTAATCCACATCACTGCGCTAAGCCCGCTTCTGCAGGATGCTCTAGAAAACTGCAATATTTAGATGGCATGTGCTTTAATTTTTTAACAAGGCCTGGACAACTGGTGACATTTTAGAATCAAACTAATTTGTAAGCAAAGAACTTGCTGTTCTGAATGGATACAGAAGAAGTTGGGGCGTGAGAATTAGAGTCCACTGAGATATGGGCTGGTTAATGACACATTAATTAGGGCTAATGAGAAAGGGCAGACCAGGGAAGGTAGGAGAGCACATATTTTAGGGAAATCTGCTATTAGTCTTTAGCTGAGAACTGGTATGTGGCCTGCTGGCACAGATTAAAGGTTTGCAGAATGGCTCGCTGTGTGAGAAGGAACTTGAACTTGCCTGAGAAAAGACTCACTTTCCTTCAGTACCTGTGCGGCCCATGAAGAGCTCCTCCCTAAGCACAACTTTCATCTCTTTTACCATGTGCTCTTAGGAGACACCATCACTTCCCTTTTCCTCCTCCCCAACTGTTCTACTTTGGTTTCTCTACTATTGTGACAAAACACTGATCCAAACCAGCTTGGAGAGAAAAGGGTTTTATTTCATGTTATACTTCCAAAGCTCAGCCCATTTTTAAAGGAATTCAGGCTGGAACTCAGGGGCAGGAACTGAAGCACAGACCATGATGGAACACTGCTTATTGGCTTTCTTGCTTGTCTGACCTGCGCTCAGTGCTGCTTAACACCAAGATCGCCTGTCCAGGAGTGGCACCACCCACAGGGGACTAGACCCTCCTACATCACTCAACAATCAAGAAAATGCCTCACAGAGATGGGCACAGAAAATGCCTCAGTCAAGAGGGCAATGGAAGCTACCCAGCACGAAGACAAACTGGTTGTGTACATGTTACCTGTGCTCTCTCCTGCTACCTGATTTTAGTGGTGAGTCAGGTCAGTGTTTGTGGGCCAGTGCCCTGAGAGGAACCAGAGCAAGGAGGCCGCAAACAAAAGGAATCCTGACACTGCAGGAGTAGAGTGGTCTTCCCTCTACCTGGACTCAGAAACTAGGATTCCCTGAGCATGTACCTGGGGTAGTTGAGCCCTGATGTCCTCGGATCCAATGAATATGCTCTCCAGGTGAGACCAGGTACGCTGCACCTCAAACCAGATAGAGATGACTGCGTCAGCAGTGGACAGCTTCTTCTGCCAGCTTGACACTTCCTGCAGGAAGAAAGCAACATACTTGGACATCATCAGGTTCTGAAGTTGCACTTGATTGTCCTCCAGAACCTCAATGAGTTCCTCGTCCGACTGCAGCAGGGGGACGTGAGTCCGTGCGTGGGGCTCGTACTGGAATTCCATGCTGGCCCAGGTGGTCTGCAGCTCCTTTAATGTCTTCTCCATACCCATTTCTTTCACAGCTTTGTCTACGATGCCCCGGACCTCGTCCTCGAAGTGGTGCAGCTGCAGCTGAAGAAGGTGAGCCAGGGTAGTGTCCTGATCCATGGTGAAGCTCACACCCGTGGCATGCATCAGCTGCCTCCAGTGCCGTTCCCGGATGGCAGGGTTCTGCAGCTCAGCCACAGCCCTCAGGGAGGTCAGAGTGTTCAACACAGTACTTTCTAGACCTATGAATGCATCCCAGGCTCTGACTTCCTTGTCTAGGTTCCGGATGAGCCGGGCGAACCGCTTGCACTCCAAGTCCATGGTTTCTACGTTGATGTCTCTCCACTTGGTGGCCTCCCAGGCATGGATACTGGAGGTCACCATTCCAATGGTGTCCCAGAGCTCCTTCAGCAGGCAAGCCTCCTCCCGGCACTGCTTCAGCTGCTTGTAGTCAGGAACATTGACCTCAAATAGCTCGGCGGACTCAGAGATGGCGGCCATGATGGATTCCATGTGCTGGATCTCCCTATTTCTGACATCCAGAGTTTGATGTGGGTTGATGCTATCAAATCTACAAAACATAACATGTTCCACTGGTAAGCAGAGAACAAAGGGCTCAACTACTAGAACTACTAAAACCATACCTGCTGCAGTGTTTAGTAGCCCAGGGGAGAGCTGTTGCTTCCAGTACAGCCTCTCATCCTGGAAAGAAAAGGCATTCAGGGGTGAATGGGATGGGGTGAGCACTGGAGGAAGAGTAACTCAAGAGCATTAAAGATGATGCAGGGCATGATAGCACGTGTCTGTAATCCTAACACTTGGAAGACTGAGGCAGGAGATCTTGAGCTTAAAGCCACTGTGAGAAGTCCTTGTCTCAGAAAACAAAATAAAACAGACAAAAGAGAAGGACATTGTTCTTAGACCCTTTGCCACATCTGAGAAGGTAAAACTAGTCCTCTCACCTTGTATTTCGCCAAACTTACCGGTGGTGGTATAGAGACGGATGCCTCCTTATTTAAGCCTCCATTTGATGGCAGAGATGATCTGCTCTGCCATCACTCCTTATGGAGCCACTGCTCTCAACCTTGGCTGAATGATAGAATTTTCTGGAAGCGAGAAGTTCCTGATGTACAAACTTATTCCTAGATCACTTAACTCAGAACATTGAGGATATGGTCCTAGGAAATTCAGTTTTAAGCTTCCCTCAGTGATTCTGACCTGTCAAGGTGGTATCCATGCACATGGTGAAGCTCTAGTCAGTAGCCTGCATCAGCAACAGGAAACAATGCCCTGACTTGGAGAACCACTGTTACTGACCAGGAGACTCAGTGCAAAGCTCTAAGCAATTGATCATTTTTCTTCACTGTGCACCTCAAGCCATGTACTTTGTCTTTTTAAGTCCTTTACCAGAGCTTCCCTCCAATTCAACTCTTCTGGCTGCTCCCTCCTGCCTCCTGGGCTGCCTGTAATTCTGACCTTGACTATGCTAAGCACTGTACCTAGCTTTACATGTTCAATTTGTTTTCCCTTCTCATTCACTCCAATGCCTAAGGCACACATCCATTTGGAGATGGCTCTTGATCTACATGAATGTCAACACTTTGCTCTGCTACCCCAAAAGGCACACTTTCATGACAGTTTTTCCTCAAGAAAAGAGGACCACCTTTAAAGTGCTCATGTGGTCAGATGGCATTTTTCTGTCAGGGGTGCTTATAACCCAGGCTTCAAGGGGCCTCTCCTTTTCCTTCCCTCATCTCCCATTATCTTTCCTCTTCACCCCCAAGGTCATGTTTTTGCTTTGGCGTGCTTGGAGGGGTGATACCGGGGATGCTGTGACTTGTGGGAGAGGAGTATATTCCTCTAAGTTCTGTACAGGGCCTCATAGGAATATTCCATCAAGGGAATATTGAGAGGATGTGAGTGACAAGAACTGGTCATTTCTTCTTGTGTACTGTGATTGCTTCTATCTGTGAGAAAATGTGTGCGTGCATGTGCATGCGTGTGTGTGTGTGTGTGTATGTGTGTGTGTATGTGTGTGTGTGTGTGGTGTTTGCTGTAACATGGAGGGGAGGAAAGGAGAAGGAGGATGACATACAAACTCCTTTTTCTCACTGCCCTGTCTTTCAGTTGTCTCCAGAAATATTTGACATGGGAAATGGAAAGTAATCCTAATTAAAGTCATTTACCTGAACTGCTTACCACTTACTCCCAATTGCCCCACAGCACAATAACAGTTATGCATTCCATTAAATCTGTGTCAGATTCGCTTCGATGCTTGTCATGCCTCGTCTCCAGCTGCTGCATCTAAATCAGTTTTGACTTGTGGCCATAGAGACAGTGTGACGGCACGCTACTCACAGGTCAGACTAGTCTTCAGAACAGAATGCTAGGCTGGGGTTTCCGGCATTGGAAAGAGTGCCCTCTCTGCATAAGCATTTCCCCCTCCTCTACAAAGAGCAGTTGCTAGTGGGGTTAAGTTGAAAGAAACATCTTTGTGGCAAGTGGCTTAGCAAGAAAGATAACCAAGGCATGAAGGATCCTTCTGCTTGCGCTTCAGTTTCAGAGACTACCTGTTGGTGTCTGTGGATTCTCCTTTAGCTCTGGCCTGTGGTAAACGTAAAATGTGAAACTGGCTACTTAGCATTAGAACAAGATTTGTGAAGTTCAGACATACTCAAAAAGCCCACATCCTACAAATTTTTATGGTGTGTGATTCAGGGCTAACTTATCAGATAAGATACAGATGACAAGTATTTGTAGTGCACACAGAAGACAGTAGAAGTGTGCCAATTGTCCTTTCCTCACCACATATGAACACTCTTAAATTAACAATGTTTTTTTAAGTATTTGTAGGAGGCATTTGTCCATGTTGTTGGATAATTTTTCTTGGCTGTTTAAATGCATGGAAGACAATTTTCTGTATCTGAATATATATGGAAACTAATTTTGAGTGAGCTTGGAAGGAACCTCTACACATGAGGGCAGGTAAACCCTCTTGCCATTTCAAAAGTTTAGAGCAAGGCAGGCATGGTGGCACATGCCTATAATCCCACCACTCAGGAGCCTGGGATAGGAGGATCATGAGTTCCAGCCCAGTCTAGACTACATAGTGAGACCCAGTCTCAGAAAAACTCCTTTGTGGAAAGTTGCCAAGACATTCAGATACTTAATTCACATGTCTAATAAATGTGAATGCGGTTTTCAAACCCAGGAGGAACAAGATAGTTTAAGAATAAGAAAGTCATAGGTAAGGAAAAGGTACACTGAGTCTTTGAAATGGAAATAAACATGAAACAAGTATTTTAATCTGAAAGAGAAATGTCTGCATGAATAAACCATAATTAAGAGAAATGGAAATATGTTGCTCACACATGCTGTATTGCTACCCCACAAGGCATGCTTTCACAGGGAGAGAGAATAAAGACCTTCCATTGACTCCTGGCAAGCTGGCCACCAGTACACATTATCTTCAGCATCATGCCTGTATAAAGGATGAAGGATGCCTCATCCCTACATGGCACCCCACCAGCACACAAAACTCAAGATACCCACCCTGAACTTGTGATCCCCAGTCCTTCATGTTTTGTCCCTGCCCACCTCAGTGGACAGTGGAACAATACCACAGCCTACCTATTTGTTCAAACTAGAAGATGGGGCATTATCCCAGACTCTCCTTCCTCAGCTCCTGCTAATTTTCGGCACTAACTGTATTTCAAACCCCTGATCTTGTCCTTTGCTTCAGCTCAGTCCTTACCACTGCTTCAGGGCTCTTATAACCTCTCAGTTGAGTCTGTCTTGCTCCACAAGAAAGTAGGATTTATTTTACAGACAAGTTTCCAATATACAAAGTTTAATTAATGAATTTTTTCAACTTATGGTCCCACAAAGCAATACAAATTTAGTAGAACTTGCGATTTGGACTGGTTTTCTCTTAGGTTAGCAATAGGCATGCAGTTCAGTCCTCTGCCATGATGCTGGACAGTAGGTAGTAGAAACCAGGCATGTGCTCACGAGAGAAACAACCAACACTCCACATCCCACTGTACTGCTAACTGGTGTTTGGAAGGTCAGGTACATCAAATGCATTTTCAACATGATACTTTCAACATACAATGGGGCTGTCAGAACAAAATGTAATGTAAGCCTAAAAGGATCTCAGTGGTTGACCATAGTCAACCTGGGTCATCTGGTCCTCTCTGTCCTTATCCCACAGTTCCTGCATTTCAGCCATACACAGTTCTCTGTGTTTTACACTTTCAGTCATTGTGCCTTTCTGTATATGTCCACTTGTACAAATATCCTTGCTGTCCACTCTGTTTTTAATCCCAAATGGATCTTACCTGCCATTGGCTCAATCATCACCTTTCCCAGGATATGTGAACAGCTTTAGTTAATGTAGGTACCACGATTCCCTCCTGTGAGCTAGAGCTGTGGCCTTCTCCAATGAGCTAGAGCTGTGGTCCCCTCCTTTGAGCTGGAGCTGTGGTCCCCTCCTGTGAGCTGGAGCTGTGGACCCCTCAGATGAGCTGGAGCTGTGGTCCTCTCCTGTGAGCTGGAACTATGGTCCCCTCCAATGAGCTGGAGCTGTGGTTCCCCTCCTGTGAGCTGGAGCTATGGATTCCCCCCTCCCCCAGTGATCTGGAGTTGTGGTTTCCCTCATATAAGCTGAAATCCTGGTCTTCTCCTATGAGCTGGAGCTGTGGTTCCCCTCCAATGAGCTGTATCTGTGGACATTTCCTGTGAGCTGGAGCTGTGGTTCTCTTCTGTGGGCTGAAGTCCTGGTTCTCTCCTATGAGCTGGAGTTGTGGTTCCCCTCCTGTGAGCTGAAGCTGTGGTCATCTCCTGTGAACTGGAGCTGTGGTTCCCCTCCTGTAAGCTGGAGCTATGGTTCCCCACCTGTGATTTGGAGCTGTGGCCCCCTCCTGTGAGATGTAACTGTGGTACCCTCATAATAATATGGACTCTCAGTCCCAGGAGGGATGATTAGAATGAACTGTGCTGGATCAAGTGCTCACCCACTGTTGAAGATTAATGCATCTTTCAACTCTCACCAGAGAAGTTTCCTTATGCAGCAGATTGTGATTGACACAGAAACTTATGCCTTTTTAATGTACGGAGAGGAAGGGGCTGCAGAGTGCCTATCTCTGGGTGGGACACCTCTGTCAGGCTTCTGGAGCTCAGGACTTAGGAATCATTGCAGAGGAGGAGGTGGAAAGATTGTAAAAGCCAGAGGTGGTGGATGACCATGGGGGGCGCAGAGTTCTCCAGACATCGGGCCAGTTACTCATTTAAACTCATAGCAATGGTGACAGCATGTACAAGTCCCATGCAAGCTCAAGTGGATGAGCCCACGCTGGAGAACATTTGGGGATTCAAGTCAGACTCTATAGGCTTTATTACCCAGAGAAAGTACATTGAATTAAGTTGGGGAGGTGTAGAGAGGAGTGGATGGGAGAGGGGATATAAATGTCATCAAATTATAGTGTCTGGAAATAACAAAAATTCAATAAAAATGCTAAAAAAGAACAGACAGTACCACGAGTGTGTCTTATCACTCATTTTTGAAATTGTCCCTAAGGGTATAAGTTGTTGAAGTCAGGGAATGTGTGTTACTGCAAGATTCTAGTATCCACATAATTTTTAGCTAACTCTGTTGTTGAGGGCAAGCCCCACATATTCTCTGGAAGCCTAAATCATGTGAATGAGTCAGTTAACTGGAAAATCAGGGTCAAGCTGAACCAATAACATATCTTAGGATACTGATATGATCTAATGACCTGGTACTGATCTAATGACCAACACTGCTCTTTTCTCCAGCTTCTGAAGGAAAAACAGCTACTTTGCAAGCAGGTCTTAAGCTTTTTCCTCATACCTCGTGCATCGGATCTTTTGGAAACCATGTTATTTTCAGGTGTCACTATGCACAGTTCCTGAAGGAGGGAGTCTTCAGAAAAGTTCTGACAGTCGCTCAAAGAATCTGGAGGCCATCTGCAAGTCCTAATGTCCTCCCTGTGAATTGGAGCTCATAGAGATAGACTGTTTAGGCTAAGAAAGTTGTGGGTTATGTTGGTCTTGAGAGACAGGGAGAGTGCTTATCATGGCACTGTTCTTTAAGGTCCGGAAGCCTGTGCTCAAGGTCAAAGAATGAGCAAGGGAGTGCTGAAAGCATGGAGAATTCCTTTCAGGAGAGTCTGCCACTAATTTAAGAAGCAGTGAGGGTCCTTGAATTTGAGTACTATAGTTTAGTCAATTATTGTGAAGTGTGAACTCAGCTAGGGATCTGCTGAGCTGGCTTAGAGTTAAGAATTGAAGGAAGAAGGAAAACTTGACTTAAACATGAAGAGGGAGCCTGAATCCAAGCAACCCAACTTCACATAGCACCTGTCAGATGGCAAGGGCCTAATGAGACATGCGCTTTCTTCTTCCTTCTCAAAGACAAGAGCATTAAAAACTGAGCTTAACCAGGGAACTCTAATCAGGAACAGAAACTTGTATTCTCAGAGACTGTACCAGGGTTTATGGTTTAGAAATTCATAAATGACCTAAAAGTAAAGCAATATGTTCAGACTTAGAAGCTACAAATTTTAAATGCTCACACACAGCAAAGTAGGAAACAAAACAAAACAACACATGAGTCGACACCTTCTAAAGTTCCCTTTGGTAATAAACCCAGCATTCTCCTCCAGGCCTGACGGCTTCCTTCGCAAGAAGAGAAATACATCAAAATTTCAGTAACATTTGGCTTCCTGCATTTCTGTGAGCAGTTCTTTTCAAAGCATTCTCCTCCAAGGATTCATCTGCATGTGAAATTAACAGATGTGAATTCAGAAAGCCCAGCTAAGAGAGCACTATTATCAGATAGGAGTGTTAAGAAAGAAAACAAATGCAGCTATCCATTAAAAAAGAAGAGGAAATATATATATTTGTATTGTATGTGTAGTTTATACACCCATTCCTTCCTGCCTGTTAGCAGCGTAGCATCTTGTTCTTTGTAGATATGAGTATAATGCTGTTCTAGTGTGCTTTCTGTTACTGTGGTAAACACCATGACCAAAAGCAACTTGGGGAGGAAATGGTTTATTTTATCTTTCAATTCCCAGTCACAGCCCGTCATCAAGGGAAGCTAAGGCAGTACGCAAGGGAGGAACCTGGGGCCTAAACGGAAGCAGAGACCAAAGGAGAGAGGTTTCCTCTTGCTCTCTGGCTCGCTCCTAGCTCTAGCTGTTTCAATACAACTCAGGCCCATCTGCCCAAAGGGTAGTACTGCCCACAGTGGGCTGAGCCCTGCTACATCGATTAGCAATCAAGAAAATACCCCACAGATATTCCCACAGTCCCGTCTGATGAAGAAATTTCCTCAAGGTTCTCTCTTCCCAGGTGACTTGAGTTTGTGCCAAGTTGACAAAAACTAAGCAGCACGAAAGCTTAGAAGGTGGCAGTTGCTTAATAAATGTTAGGTAAATGAATGATAAGAACAGGGCCTTACTGAGGGTGGAGAAGGGTCTGGAGGGAGACTGGTCCGTGGGTACATAGTCACAGCCAGAGAGGAGGGATGTGTGCTGGTGTTCTTTACTCCACGGAATGATTATAGTCATGATTGTGTAATATGATTCAAGGGACTTTAAATTTTCTCATCACAAAGGATCTATAAATGTTTGAAATGATGGATAACTTCAATGTTACCAGTTGCTCCTTACACAAAGTATAAACGTATGAGAGTATCACATTGTGCCTCAGAAGATGCACAATTGTTATCTGTCAATTAAAATAGATTTTAGAAAAGATCAGGCCTTTCTTTACTGTGTACCAGGATGGAAGAACAGCTGTCCTGGTTTCCCTAGAACCAAGGAGTATGCCTCCACATGAGACTTTCAGTGCTAAGATCTGAACAATGGCCCACCCGTATGGTTGGACACCAACATGCCAAGCACAGCAATAAGCAATCAATAATTATCTTGCTATTCTAGTAACCTATGAGGGTAATACTATTATTATCTAAACTTTTCAGAAACTGAAGCGAAGGCATCGAGTAACTTGAGTGGTGCAGGCAGACCCAAAGATGTTTCTCATTCCTTAGATGGACATTTTCCCACTTAGACCTTGTTTCCAGTTTCTAAGTCTGTCTACCCCAAGCTGTAAAGGAAACACAGTAAGAAACTCGGCTCTGTGGAAGAGAACACAGTGCAGAAGGCTGGAGGGAAGAGAGGACACTAGTTATTCAGAACTGGCTTGGCCACTGTAGTGGAGGCGTGGATGTCGAGTGGTGCCTGGGAAGCTGATGTCCCACAGACTTGAAACCAGAGGTGTACTGTTGGGCACGTGGGAATGGTGCCAGCTCTCCTGAGGTTGCTCTGTTTACGCAAGACCCATAATAACCAATAGAGAGGTGTAGGGGGATTACCAAGCTCAGTGAACACCCCCTGGAAGTTAACCTTCACCTGAATCTTAAATTACTAACATGTCTTTCCAACATTATTTAAATGTTCTAGGAACTACTTTTCATTGCATGACACAGGTGCACTTACCTACATGCAGGCAATACACACATACACATAAAAATAATAAATATAATATTTTTAAAGATGTGAATGCATGCACACATATGTGTATTCATATTCCTAACAAGCTGCCAGATCTTTCTTAAAGGGAAGATGGGTGTCTAGCCTTTGGTCACTTTCACAGGTCGAGATAGAAGTCTGCCCACTTCAGCACCACATTGTAACTAAAAGGCCTACAAGGAGGAAGAATGCTAACTAGCTTTGTCTGCTGAAAGAACAGAGCACACAAGCTCAAGTGGAAGTCGGTCACCCTGGGCCATACCTGAAGGGGGCTTCTTTTCGGAACTGCTCCCAGAACTGCTGCTGCTCAACATCGAAGGCTGTGCACCTCCGGCGGAGGAGAGCCACTTCATTCGCCTGCAGTGGGGCTACCTCCTGCCTCACGGTAATGGCCATCTTCTTCATGTTGTTCCACTTCTCAGGAAGTTCCTGTAAAGAAGACCTCAGTGTGGTCTGACTGGCACTGCTCCCTTTTCCCCTATATCTGGAGGCTGTTAACACCCCACTGTTCTTAGCTCCGCTTCAGATCACACTAGAATGTGCTGGTCCCATTTTCCAACTTCTGTACCGCTACCTCACCCTTCCTCAACTTACATCTTTGGCTGTGTCTTTCTCCACAGTTGCTTACTTTTGACTCAACATGACCCCTCTCGCCCACAACCTCTAACCTGAAAACCCCTTGCCCCTTCTTACATTCCTCAACAGTGGTTGAATATTTTCTTGTATACCCCTCATTTCCTCTCAGACCATCTTAAAATCACTTAAATCTGTGTGTTTTCTCCAAATCAAATGCTTGGCTCAACTTTTTGCAGGAGTGGTTGGGTAGGGGGAGACCAACCAAAACCTAATAGATATGAAAAGGCCATACAAGAAAAAAATAAAAGAGAACATAAAAAAAAAATAAGCTAGGCCTGGTGGTATGTACCTGCTGGTCTCAGCATTTAGGTGGCCGAGGCAGGAAGATCAAGTTCAAGGTCAGTCTGGGCTAAACAGCAAAATCCAATCTAAAAAAAAAAAAATTGGCTCAAATTCAGTGATTGGGCCAGTACTTCTGTGTTCCACCCCTAGTCACCCCACCCAAAACTTGAAAAAAAACTTAATTTGGGGGGAAAAGCTACATCTTTATGAGTACTACATTACATGTTTCAGTATTTAATGAATTTCTTGGAAGTGTACTGACCTCCAGTTGCTTAAACACAGCTTCGGGCAGCTCCTGTTCATAGGTCTTCAGCAATTCAATAGTTTGCTTTAGGGGCTCAAACATCTCATCAGTGCTGCTCTGCCGTTCTTTAAGGGCTACAAGGTGTCCCATGATCTCAACTAATCCTTGGAAATCTCCTTTCTCCACTTTCTTGAGCAAACCACTCTCACTGCTTTTTATAAATTCCTCAAGGTCAGCCAGGCTGAATCAACACAAACAAAATGCAGGGCAGTCTCCTTGCACTCCTCCTTACTTCTCTAACAGTAGCTGTTGTTGCAGGAAGCTCACCATGGGCCTGGCACTTGGGGGACTAGTCTTGTGATTAGTGTGACTTTCTTCACCAGTGTAAAGTTAGAAAAGGCAAGGGCAGACCTGGCCTCTCAGGGGACATGGCACCTGAATGGAATGTATGATTCTAGTAGGATTTTGGACCAGAGAAAGGACATTAGTGGGACAACTGGAGAGACTAGAATAGGTCCATGGACTAGATTACAAGTTCTCTATCAAAAACCAATGTTTGAGCATTGTATGCTGGCTAGATAAGATGTCACCATTTGAGAACAATAGATTAAATGTAAAAAAGCTCATTGTGATGTTTTTGTGATTTTTTTTAAGTTTGAAATAATCTTAAAGCAATAATTTAAAAATAGATTTTATTTTTATTTGATGTGCAGGAGTGTTTTGCCTTCATGTATATAAGTGTGCCGCATGCATGCCTGGTGCCCATGGAGGTCAGAAAAGGGTGTTGGGTCCCCTGGAACTACAGTTAGAGATGGGTGTTAGCTGCCACATGGATGCTAGGAATCTGACCTGGGTCCTCTGAAAGTGCTCTTAACTGCTGAGCCATCTCTCCAGTCCCTAAGGCAGTATTTTTGTTAGGATGTAAATGTTCTTGCCTCCAAGTCACACACATTTGGTTTTGATTCTGAGAGTTATCAGACATGTGACCATACCCCAGACCTTAGCTTCTGAGACTCTCAGTTTCCTTACTGTGAAGATGGGAAGACCCATCACATCTCACCACTCTTATGAGTTAAGTGAGGGCTAGAGGCTGCAGCAGCTGTTTTAACAGGTTCACAACCAAAAAGACAAGATAGTGCAGTGAGATGCATCCCGTCATTGAGCAAGTGTTTGTTGATTATCCATTAGGCTGTTAGCACAGAGGAACTGACTCTGCCCTCATGTAACTACTACAGCCTAGCAAGACAAATAAGTAGGAAACAGAGATCAGATAAACACACTGTACAGCTTCACACAGTAATGGGTGCCCATGGGAAATGGCAGAATAAAGAGGTGGAGGCTAAAGCCAGGATGTTATGCAATGGGGTGATCAGCAAAGGCTTTTCTATGAAGGTGACCTTGGATAGAAAAGTGAGTGAATAAAGGAGTGAGCCACAGAAAGGCAAGGGAGATGAGAACTCCAGGTGGCAGGAACAGCATGAGCAAAGGCCCTGGGGCTAGATTAAATTCTATGTGCTTGAGAGGGACAAACATCAAGGTGGCAGAGGCCTCTGAGGAAGAGAAGGGAGCACAGAGGAAGAGAGCAGGGGATTAGCAAGTGGCCTTACTGGCTGTCTTGTAAAGTCCAGATTTTATTCTAGTGTAAGAATTCTAAAGAGAATCCATGGCAGGAGAATCATAAGCTCCAAGGCCATGTAGGCTGTATATTGAGATCTTATTCTAAAACAACAGCAACAAAAAGAAACTTTTTGTTTTTGCTGATAACTACCAAATGTATATTTTAAGCAGTCATCTCTCAGAAACTCTGCAATTGCATGTAACTTACTTTTGTATATTACTTACTTTTCTCATTGCTGTGACCAAATACCTGTCAAGAAATAACTTGAGGAGGATTTACTTTGGTTTACAGTTTAAGGAGGGGTACAGAGCATCACTGTGGACAAGTCATGGTGGTAGAAGCGTGAGGCAGCAGGAAGTCGAGAGAGTCTTGGAAAAGCTCATGCTCAGGAGATGAGAAGAGAAAATGGGAAAGAAGTGATATTTGAGGAGACTCTGGGTAAGAATTTTCTTGAATTTCTGAAAGTATGCAACAGCAAAAGGCCAACAAATACCAGGTAGAATAAATATAAAGACATCCTCATACAGATGTTTCAACTGTAGGCTACCAGAAGGGGGAAGAGGAGGGGAAGAACAGTAAGAGAAGGATGAGGAGGAGGAGGAGGGGGGGGAGGAGGGGGAGGAGAGCCATTGCTGCTGCCATGCAGGGCATGCTAGGCCCTTGGCATAGCTTCTTTGGATGCATTCTGCAGTTGCAATAGTTCTGCCTTGGAGCAAGACAAGCTTGTGATGGCAGTCAACATGTACTGGGCACCTAAGCTGTGCCAGGCACTTTCCTAAGCCTAAGTACATTTACTCATTTAATCCTGGCCACACTACAATAAGAAAAGTACTATTAGTATCTCCACTTTTCAAGTGGAAAAATGGAGACATATTCAGAAGAATGTGCAGCTAGCAAATGGAACAATTGGGAGTTTAACCCAAGAAAGCCACAGACAAGATTCCCTTTAATGTGAGAGAAGGAGGAAGAGGAGGAGGAGGGAGAGGAAGGGGGTAGGAGGAAGAGGGAAAGAAAAGAAAGAGGGAGAAATGAAGGAGTGGAGGAGGGAGGGGAGAAGAAGAGGTAGGATGAGAGGAAGGAGGAAGAGGAGGAGGAGGAGGAGGAATAGTTACACAGATGGCTAGCTAATCAGTAGCAAAAATAGAAGCCAGAACATAGTGGAGTAATGTTTTCAACAAAGAAAGTCTGATTTTCTAGATTCTCTTTCAAAATTTTTAAAAGAATAAGAGGAAAACAAATATATTTCAGACAAAAGCTGAGCATTCCAACAAAAGAGGCTTACTATAGGAACTTCTAATAGATACACCTCAGTAACAGATCTGTATTATATAGAAAATAAGCAAAGTTGTTATCATGTAGGCCTAGCTAGATAAAAACAGAACAAGACAGCAAGCTCAGGGACATGATTTAATAGTTCAGTGCTTAGCAGTTTGTATAAACCTGGGTTTGATCCTTAGCACCATAAAGAAAGTGTAAATATTTTAAATAAAACATAATTTGGAAGAGTTAAATAAATGATAAATATCAATCTTACTGTAATGAAAGGATATATTTTCGTGGGTAAATAATAGAATGCAGCTCCTATTTACTTATTCATTTATCTAGTGTGTGTGTGTGTGTGTGTGTGTGTGTGTGTGTGTGTTGCTGGGATGGAACCCAGGATATATTTTCGTGGGTAAATAATAGAATGCAGCTCCTATTTACTTATTCATTTATCGTGTGTGTGTGTGTGTGTGTGTGTGTGTGTGTTGCTGGGATGGAACCCAGGCATTTGCACATGCTAAAGAAGTGCTGTAATGCTGAGATTTATTTCCCACCTTCTGCTTTGGTTTTGAGGAAAGTGAAAGTACTGGGGGATTATCCATTTTAAAGACACTGATTTAAACATCCCTTGTAACCATTAGAGCCTTTTCATATAATGCAAGGTTGAAAGCCAAAGGACAAAAGGAGATATCTCAGGCAAGGAGTTCTCAAAGGGAAATTGGTTTAGCTATGATAATATCCAGCAAAATAGACTTTACCACGACAGATACAGTAAGGGGACAAGATCTTTAATGTTTGTTTAATGTTCAATTCTAGGAAGATAGAAAAAAGTTAGATATCATAAATCCACATAATGTATCCCAAATGTCTGAGACAAAAGCACCAGAGGGTGAGTATCAAAATGGAAGATGTTGAACACAATGATCTCAGTAACTGATTTGTTAAGCAGAATAAAAAGGGCAATGAGAAGACAGCAGACTTGAGTGGGGCAGTCAACAAGCTTAAGCAAGAAGCAGGAACAGAATGCCACACTTTGTAGCCATAGAATACCCAGTCTTCTCATCTGTGCACATGCCATTCATAAAAACTGAATGCAGAGCAGAAAGCAAACCAACACACTTCAGAAGCTTGTTACTATTCACACCACATTTTCTGACCACAATGCAATTTCGTTAGAAGTAAATGATAGACCATAACTAGGAAAAACACCATATTTGGAAAATTTAAAAGATCTGAACCCATTATGATGCATACTAAAAATATTTGGAACTACATTGTAGATTCATGGGTAAATTTTCACAGAGAATTTATGACTTCTAACATTCAGAAAGGCTCAAAGAAATGAAGCATTCTTCTTAAGTTAGTCAAGAAATAGAGAATAGGGCTGGAGAAATGGCTCAGTGGTTAAGAGCACTGGCTGTTCTTCAGAGGACCAAGATTCGATTCCCAGCACCTACATGGTGGCTAACAATGGTCTGTAACTCCAGTTCCAGGGAATCTGACACCCTCTTCTGGCTTCTGTGGGCTTTGCATGACATGGTGCACTTACCTACTTGCAGGCAAAACATTCATACACATAAAATAAAAATAAATCAAAACAATAAATAAATCCAAAGAAAGTGGGAAAACAAAACAATACTTAAAAATATCAAATTATTGAAATAAAAGTTAAACTATAATAACTGGATGCAGCGAGTACATAAGATAGTTCTTTGTAAGGCTAATCAAGAAAGGAGCCAAAGGGTTAGAGAGATCGCTCAGTGGTGAAGAGCACTGGCTGCTCTTGCAGAAGACCCGGGTTTGGCCCCCAGCGCCCGTATGGTAGCTAACAATCATCCATAACTCCAGTTCCAGTGGATCTGACACCCTCTTCTGGCCTCCACGGGCATGGGTACACTTAAATACATGCAGGCAGAACACACATACATATGGAATAAAAAATAAATAAAAATTATGAGAAGTAACCAACCATTTTCTAATTGGATTTAAGGTTTACTTCACAAAATGGAGACCATATGTGACACTGATATTAGGTCTAGGAACCTGAGACTAGACAGGTCACAGGCCATGGGAATGAACTTAACACTATTATTTTGCTAAATAGAGTATTAAACTGACCCTGATGACTTATTGCTATACCCATAGATTAGTGCCTCTCTCAACTCTCCCCAGAGAGCTTCCTCATGTAGCAGATAGTGATTAACTCAGAACCAAACAATTGACCAACATGTTCTAGAGAACAGGAGGCTGCAGAGTACTTATCCCTGAAGTGGACGTCTATATCAAACTTCTGCCTCCCAAGACTCAGGGGTCATTATAGAAGAGGAGAGGAAAGAGCGTAAGAGCCAGAAGTGGGAGAT